ATCTCATACTAAAATTGTCTAATAGAAGTTATTATATTATCAAAATCACACTTATAAATATGACATTTCCTTTTGTCTTTTACTATTTAGATAGTTTATAATGGAAAGAATTTATGTATTTTGTAATATAAATTTAAAAATATTACATATTTTAGTAGAACGGTTTTTTTTTTTTTTTAATTAGTCCATAATCCTTATTTAGAATAAATTCCAGTATATTTTATTAAATAGTTAATTTATCATATTTATCTCATACTAAAATTGTCTAATATACGTTATTATATTATCAAAATCACACTTATAAATATGACATTTCCTTTTGTCTTTTACTATTTAGATAATTTATAATGGAAAGAATTAATGTATTTTGTAATATAAAAATTTAGAAATATTACATATTTTAGTAGAATGGTTTTTTTTCCTTTTTTCTAATTAGTTCATAATTCTTATTTAGAATAGATTCTTTAATTTCTTTTTTTATTTGTTTTGTTAATATTGGAAATATTACATATTTTAGCAGAACAATTTTTGTTTATTTTATTTTAATTAGTCTATAATCCTTGTTTAGAATATATTCTTTATTATTATTATTTTTTTGTTAATATTGATTCATGTCACAGTCTAAATTAACAATTACACATGTTATGTTCTCGTGAATAAAAATTTTGCTTACGTGTCGTGTTCTCATCGTGCGCGTTCTCCTTTGTATAATAAGATACCTCAATGATTCTTAAGACAAGACAGAGAAACAGAGCAGGTGGGAGATTTCGAAGAAGGAATAGCTTAAATACTTCAGGAAAATTGAGCTCATGGTTTAATTGGCAGTGTTACGTTAGTTAGATAACTTGGGTTTAGTTCAAGTACTTGTACCTTTACTAAACAAAGCAACACCAGATGTGCACGCAGAAAGACATAAACGTCGAAGCTGAAATGTTGAGGATTCATTACGCATTACCAGAAAATGTTGTAGCTGTAACTTTTTTACTTTTGCGTTAAAAAGGACTACATATTTTAAAAACATGATTGCTTACGACAATAGTAGTAGTTAGTAAAATTGATTCACTGTAACAGAAACATAGGTCTGAGGTCGTCAATGTTCTCAATTTTCTCGCTGAATTGCATGTGTTCTTGCTCTACCGATTAAAGCAAACTAAACAATTTTGCAAAGTTCGAAAACGCAACAGAATTAAAAGTTAGGCAATCAAGTCAAAACTATAATATCGAATATAAAGCCATAGGTCGTTGAGAATAAAAGAGAAACAAAGGGGAAAAACTCATCCAAACAAAAATGAGAAGTAATTCTACTACTGGTTTTGAATGCAACTCATTCCATAACTAAGACTCAACCATAAACCTTAAACTCGGGGTTGACAATCTGTCATTGTGATTTGATTTAGATGGCGGCCGCAATCCTTCCTGCGACTTGGTCGAGATCCCTCTGACCACTTGATGTGATCTTCCTCCCACTGGTTACATCAGAATATGTAATCGTTAGCTAGTGAAGATATAAGTTTTATCCATAGGTGTATTAGTAAATGAAGCAGCAGCACATTTTAAAATCATAGACAATTCACCTACTGAGTACAATCTTATGTCGTAAATAGCATTTTCAAGCAGCTTTTGTTACGCGGATAACAAATCTAATCATCTAATTTGTGTATACTAGTTTTGTATGCCATTAAATCATCTAATTTGTGTATACAAGTTTTGTTTGCCATTAGTGTTTGGTGCTGAAATTGTGTTATACAATTCCCTTTATGTATTCCTAATAATTCCTTTGTACCAGTCTAATTAAGTGAGGCCAGGAAGAAATCTAAACCAGAGAAGATGAACTCACCCCTTAGTGTCAAGGTCGACAATGTTCATGGTCTGGAGTTGCTGAAGAATGTGACGAGCAACACCACCACTGCTCTTGCAGAAATGAGGTGGACGGCTTCCGTTCCTCTTGCTTCCTCCATAGATCCTACGGAAGGCACCAACTCCAAGACCACCCCTCAAGTAGACTTTCCTTGCCATGGATGCTAAAGAGTAGAAATTTGTCTCAGAGAAAAACATCATAGCTGCTTCCACAGATGCAAAACATTAAGAAAACATCCAAATCCCAAAGGGTTATACATACCGGCTCTGATGTAGTACCAGTCGGGATCATATGGAGCAAGCTCCTTAAGTTTACCAGTCTTGACGATATCTGTCCACAGAGGCAGCTCAATCTACATGAAAGCAACAAAATTGAAAATCAAAAGCAGAAACATTTAGCTGCCAAAAACCGAGCAAAGCATCCAATACCAGTCAAATTAATCCACAAGACAGAAATGAAGAAGCACACAAAAAAAATGTTCAAAACTACTGAGATTTTGATTTTTCCGGCACAGTTACGATTAAACGTCGATCATCGCGATTCGTGAGAATTACCTTGCCGGAGCGCTTGAGATGTGCAGCGTAAGCCTTAACGAACTCGTGTGGAGAGACATCCTTCACCGTTCTTCCTGTCGCCATTGTTGGTCCTCCTTGCTGCTGCGTCGGCGCTGCTTCGCTATGGAGTATCCGAGAGGGGATTGAGAGGAATAATGATAAAGCGAAATTAGGGTTTTTGAGGACTTCCTGTAAGTGACGGCCTATGAATTACATAACTACCCTTCATATTTTGGGTCATGCGCTTATGTCATATTTTTGGGCCCGTTATTTTGTTCTTACCAGATAACCTGTAAAATTCGGTTAAGATTAAAAATTGGTTAAGCGAAATTAAAAGAGGTTAAAGATTAAACCAAAACTTGATCGATTTTAATGTCCCAGAAAAGGAAAAAAGAAATCTTTTCCTTATAAACTCGCCGCGAGATAGAGGCCGAAAGAGTTAGCCCTTCAGTTCGTCGGAGCTCAGATCACGACCACCGTCACACCACCGTAGCGCCGAGGAAGAGGTAGTGACTGTGAGAAAGAGAGGCGAAGATGAAAGAAGAAAAGAGGGTTGAGATGATGCAGAATCTGTTCGGAGATCAATCCGAAGAAGAGATCGATTCCGAACATGAGTCCAATCCTCAGCCCAACTACGCTTCCGTAATCCTCTCTCTTTGATCTCATTAGGGTTTCATTCATTTCGTGACGATTGTTTCGTAATTTTCAATGCCATTGATTCCTTGAATTACCTTGCAATGTTTTTGGTATGTGATGGGTTCTCTGGAACTCTTCTCGCCTGAATTTAGGGTTTTTAGTTGAATTTCAAGAACATATGAAAGTAATTAGGCTTAATTCAGCTTTTTAGTTCTTAGATCAACATGTTAGTATTGTCAGATTCCATGGCATGTGCAGTGGATATGTAATCCATGATGTTGTTTGATTTCTTTATTTTTTTGTTTCTGTAAACGGAATATTGAATACCAGTTAAATTGTGGTTGAACTTTCCGATGTAT